CTGCTAGTTTTAGGGTTTAAAGTAACTCAGCGGAAAATAAGTCCGTACATATTGTATCATGAAGTATTCTAAACATGACACTGTGTTTGAGATTTTGAAAGGGTGAAAACTAAAGCAAAGGCTATATCTAGTCTGTCCTTACTGGTCTAAAATAAACTAAATGTATAAATAAAGCTCAGCTGTCAAAGGTAAGTTGCATAGTAATTTTGATTACTTAAAATACAAGCATTGCAAACTTTCTTCTATTTTTGGAAACAAAACTTGGGGCAAATTGGAAAAAATAGGGTTTAAGCAGAACATCACACTGGGGTTCAGTGGTTTGTTTTTTCCATTTATGAAGCCTTAAAATATTTTTTTATCAAATAGGCATCACTGCAGCAGGTCTGTATTCTGTTAAAGCTTTCAAGAGCCTTTAAAGGAAGTTATTTTGGGACAACTTGCAATTTATGCCCTCTGAGAGAGGGCATAAATCCGTTAACTCCCCCCTTTTTCTGCTGGAAGAAACAATTTGCTCATGAATTTGCCTGTCTCCACTGATGGAACTTCGTATCTCTCAGCATAGTTATGAGCTTTACAAATATATATAATTTAAAAATTGGGTAGGCTGCCTGGAAAATGCTGCCTTGTTTTTTTGCTCCTGGTGATGAAAAGGGAGATGCCTTGCAGTCAGTTGTTGCTTACTGTGAGGCCCTTGCTTGCTGTGCTAGGATAGCACGGGGTGTGAAAGTGATTTCATGGAAAGCTAGAGAAGTATGTATGTTAGATCTTCTTTCCAGCCCACTAGAAGGTGGTCTTTTGTCTGTCAGCCTCACCAGGTCTTGTGGTCATACAGTTGTGTGCTGTTTGTGCTGGGGAGGAGGTGGTAGTGGCAGCATAGTGGGAGTGTAGCCACAGAGTAGGTGGGGGATTGCAAGAAAAGATAATCCCAGTGAGGAAAATAAAGTGCAGTACAAAATGGGAGGAAAATGAAGTTATGTGGGTGCTTGGTGTGCCTCAGGAATCATCGAAAGAGCAATGGGATTAGGTCAGGATGGCCAGTGCCCATTTGGCTTTCTGCAGGGAGAGGCTGCATGCTCCATATAAAGCTAATGATCTTTTATTGGGAATTGAAAGTATCCCAGCTATAGTGCTAACTGCTGCAGCTGTGTCAGTAATTTTTCATTCGATTTTACCTTCATAGAGAAGATAAAGATAGATCCATTTAGCATTTTGTGTAACACTGAGCGGAATTCAGAGGTTGCACAATGCAGCTAAGTATTTATTAGAAGAATAAATGATTTCAAAACCAGGGTTGCAAAATTGGGCATTTCCTAACTTTGAAATTCCAGAATGTAGATAGCTTTAGCAAGTATTGTGTATGAGATGGACACGTGAATCCAGCTTTACCCATGCTGACTGGGGAAGAAAACACATACCTCTGGTGTTTTGCAGTTGCATTTTTATTACTTACAAAAAAAATTAATTTACTACTAATAAAGGTTTCTGAATTGACATCTGTGAAAGATTAAATCTTTTGTTCACAAATACCTCTTTGTGCTAACTTTGCCTCTGTGCCCTGGAGGATCAGAAAGATGGCAGTCCTCTTTCCCCATGGTAGGTTTTCCAGCTTCTCTCATTGTGAAGCTAGCATTTTGCATTTTTCTAGAAGGTGGACCAGAGCACTGTTTCTTTGATGCCCACTGACACACAGGCAATGTGAGAGCCAGATGGCTGTTGATGGTGGTAACAGTCAAGATACTCCATCACAGCTCCCTGCTTTCAGAATTTGTGGTAGTATTCTGTATTAGCACTTAGGCAGACTGAAATTTTTCTTTGTAATAATTTTGAGTTTTCTCTTTTGAGAAAGCAGGAATTTGTCTCTTTCCGTTTCTGTGCCTGTACATTCAAATTGTTCACGTCAGTGGGAATGTTCACAGCTCTGAACTTCCAGCTCTGCTCTGCCAAACTGACGGAAGCTCTGTTGATTGTTTAATTCTTCTATGGTTGCCCTGTTTTCGGTTACAACAAATAGAAGCATTATGGAGAACTCTTGTAAGTAGCTTACATACTATTTGCTCAAGTTTGTCATTTTACACTTACTTAAAATCATCCTCAGCAGAGTGTCTGAATTAAAATTACTGGTTTAAATGTACTTCAGAAAATTTTCAACAATTTTACAGAAAACAGAAAAGTAGACTTGTGGTCACTTTTTAATAAGAGTTTAACTATGTAACTGTTTCAAGTTTTTCTGCTTTACTACTTAAATATTCTTGTTTTTAAGCAAAGTGTGGCTCATTTTCATGGGTAGAACCAAAAGCATTAGGAGACCTAACTTTGCAGAAATGCAAAGCCTTCAAATCTTACCAAAGCCAGTGAAAACTGATGGAACTGAGCTAACCTGGAAATTAGGACATTGTCTGGGCCTCCCCCCCTCCAATCCTTCTACCCCTTGTGTTATATTAAAAAAAAGATTTATGGATGACTTTCCAGTGCATGTCAGTGAAGGAGTTATTCCAGATAATTTTCAGCACAAAGGGGGGGTGTGGGGTGGGGTGGGGTGTGTGTGAGGGAGAGTAATTACATTGAAGGCTAAATTAAAGGACAAAGTCCTGAGCGCATTTCCATCTCTATTTAAAGTAATAGGAATGAGAACGAAGTGGATCTTGCACGATTGGGCACGTAACATTCATTGTAGTTTGGCTCACTCCTTTTTCTTCCCTTTTTTTTTTTAACATGCAGAATTTTACCCTAGATTGACAAATAATGTCCCACAAATCAATCTTACTAATGCGAAAAAGAGCGTGTCTTGCAAACCTGTACAGTGGGAATGAAATAACAGATTTCTGCTTCAGCAAAGTAGGCACTAACTAATCCAACCAGACCTTCTGTCATCTTCCAAAAGTAATGTAGTAGGTTTCAGATTTTGTTGTAGTTTTGCATTTTCTAAGGTGGGTGAGCTAGGTTAGGAGAATAACTGTGCCTGTAGGGGAGACTTGGGGTTTTCCTTTACAAGGGCATAGATTTGCCAATGCTATTTTGAAGTCCATAAAACTTACAGAATTTGAAAAGCCTTCTCTGGAGACCTGCCTACCATATCGTTCTGTACATAGAGGTTTGCTTATCACTGGGACTGATGCTGAATAATGATGTTCTGGCTGTCTCTTTAAAAAAAGAGAAATCAGGAGTTAACTGGGAATGGATTATTTCATGGAGTGTTTTCAGTAACAAACAGTGGCATCAAAAAAAAGAATTAGGACTATGTAGAAATAGGGGCTCAAAGATCTTTCTTTAAACTGCTGTTTTTCATCTTACATTTCCATTAAAATAAAACTGTTAAACGGCCTTGAACTTAATCACTGAGCTACTCTTCACTTTGTAAATACTTGTAAAGATGTTTGCCTCTGAATAGCCTGTATGATACCTTACAACCCTGAGGAGTGGGTACTTTTTAACATGTTGAAGAGCAAATCACAGAATTGCTTATGTATGATGATAAACAGGAAGGATGCAACATAGACAAACAAGCCTAGTAAGCTTAACTGAAAATACCCCACCTTAAACCCCCAAATTAATCTGTATGATCCATTACAAACAGTTGGATCTGATCCAAAGTGTTCATGAGAAGTTAAATAAAATTAGTTCACAGGTTTAGCTTGAGTGAGTTGTGATCGTGTGTGTGAGGGGGGGAGTTTCTTAGCAGACAGAAGATGGGTAGGAATAAGACCTTTTTTTTTTTTTTTTACTCCTTATTTTCTTTTCTGAACTTTCCCTGTGATCATTTGGTAAACCAGGTGTAAAAGCTATTGTATTTGTCTATCTTTTACTCAGCCACATGAGTTCTGTGTTTGTAGCAGATCTGCTGGATGCATTTTTAAGAGGTTCCTTGCCTTTTCCTGTTAAAGCGTGGGGCCTGTCCCTCTCAGAAAGGCTATGAGCATGTCATTGGAGACATTCTTGCTGCAGCTCACCTTAGTTTTAACTTCTGTCCTCCTCAAGTGCTGCCCCACTCCTCTTGAACGCTACTAACCCTCCCTTTCCCTCATGCTGGATAACCTCTGGGTATCACAGTTCTAAAGCAGTGAATGGTTTTGTGGATTGCTGAGGGACCTGAGTAACTGGTGGCTTGGAGACAGAATGACGTTCATAGGACTATCTAACAGATTAAGTATTCAAGCATTTTCTGCCTTTATTTTTGTAGGCAGTGCATCAGCTCTTTGTTTCTGTAGCTGTTTTACTTTCCATCCCCACACACCTTGAGTACATTAATAACATGAAAAGGCATTGCTAAAAATTCCTAAGGATCCAAAGGATGGGAGGTGAAGAGGTGAGGCAGGTTTGTGTAACTGATGCTTAAGGTGAATGCTGCACTTCTCATGTTCTTCACTGTCTGAACTTAGTCATGGTGATTTTTATCTGTATCATTTATCAGAGAAGTGGGATTTTCTTCAACTTGCTATTTAAAATAAGAAAATATGTAGAGTTAAATTTGATGTGTTAAACATAAGTGGCAGTTCAAAATATTTATACCTGGCACTCTAGATTGAAGTCATTGCCTTGAACTATTGCCGATTTGCTGTGTAAGTGTATGGCTTGTTTTCAAGAGTTGTGTTTTCACCAGTTAATGTACTCTTTAACCAAATTAAGCTATGCAGACAGCTGCAGAAGTATTGCAAGATCAGTGCATACAATGTGCTATTTTTGGCAATACTCAGTTTTCTTTCTCTTCTACTTTTTGCTTCCATCCCCTCCCCACAGCATCATTTATTCTGTAACGAAACAGAAGAATGCGCTCAGTCGCACTTCTCAGCAGCTACACAGCCTGTGGAGAGTGTGGGCAGTCTCTGTATGCAGCATCCTGGAAAATGTGCGTTCCCTTGAAGTGATCTGCTGAAGAGCACGTACAAGTACAGTTGCTCCAGCCTGCCTTGTTGCACTGATTTCAAGCTCTGAAATGCTTGATTTCTGATAGTCCCTGGATATACATTTCTTCTGCCAACGGAACACTTACCTGCTGCCAGTTATCCAAGGAGCCCCAGAGAGCAAGAACACTGAAGATGGCTCTATGTGTTTTTTATGCAGTTTGGGGTTTTTTACTGGAAGTAGCAATAGCATTTGGCCCAGTACCGAGGATCACTTGGGAACACAAAGGTAAGAAGAGAAACTGTAGTATTGTGATATGGGACATTGTCACAACCTCAGGGTTTCTGTGGGATCTGAAACTTGTTGAGATTGGATGTTCTTCAGGCTGCTTGCTGTGTGTTTGGTCAGGTGTTGGTTGCTTTGGTCGTCTTATGAAGTGCTTAGGACAAGAATATTCGAAAGTGATTTCAGGCACTGGGTTAACTGAGGTTCTTTCAGGTCCTTCAAGGAGATCTGAAAACGTAGCTTTTTAAAGGAGAAATTTTGTTTTTTGGCTTTCTCAGCTGAAGGATCCCGATGCTGAAGCTTGCTTCAATAGAAAAAGCTAAAGGCTTCTCTCTTTTTTCTATGCAAAGGGAAGTAATAGGGATCAGAAAATCCTTTAGCTTTTGGTTTAATAGTTTAGCCTGTATTTGAAGAGACCTCTAGAGCAAGGACTAACAAGTAGTTATTTGCTGCTGTTTGTGAATTATTTCACACCCCACACACCCCGCATGTGGCATACAAGGTTTTGTGTTTGGGTCCTCCTTTACTACTAGTTAGTTAGCAACAGTTACTTACTCAAGTGTGCTGTAACTGAACAAAACCAAGTATGTGGGTAGTGTGAAGAAAAGGTGCTAAATAAGGATGTTAAATACTGAGCAGTTGCAGTGTAGGAAAAAACAGATGGAGATAGAGAATGTAGTAAGCTTATTTGAGATGACTGTGGAAAGTGTTTTCCCTGTTTATTGGTATAGCAATTAGCGAATTGCTGATGTAGCTTTTGGGAAAGAATGGTCTAGACGAGGTTTGTAGTTCTTGTTTATACTCCTTGATGCTTCTGTCTTGTATAATAGTTAAAATTTGTCAAGGTACTGTTTAATGGTATTATGGTAATGCACTGTAGGCCCATACCCAAATTACTCAAAAAAAAAAAAGGGAATTTATTTTCATTCCTGCTATTTCTCCCTGTCTCTATCTGCTAAAGATTGTTGCGTTTAAACATGAGAAGCCTGCTTTGAATGGGAAGGGGAACTTAGTTCAACGTAGGAGTGAACATGTGGAGTGGTATGAACCAGTTCATCCATTTAGGGAAAATTTTCCTAGCAAGTAAAAGATTTTAAAATTACATGCCTCAGAATCTAGTTTAAAAAGAATCTTTCTGCAGTTATTACAGTTGAAAATGCAATTTCTAATGTTAGAAGTGGGAGCCATAATACATCATTTTCTGTCTGTTTGTTAAAAAGCCATGCTTAATTAATCTTGTGGTAGTCTCTTGCACAAAATGCAGTCTTCCAAGCTTTCAGTCATTTTTCCACTACGGCTGTACATGCAGAAGAAGTATTCTTGTATATTAGTTGTTTTGTGTCATGTTTCTCACAGCCATTCTGTTACAGTCTTCATAATTCCTCATTCCACTGCCTTTTCCCCAACGTCTCTCTCTCATCTTACTCCTTTTCATCTTGATTTTCCCTAGTTTTACTTCTTTATCATGTGTGCTTCACCTTTGGTCTCCAGCATCAACTTATTGAGCCCGTGTAAATTGTTCTGTTTTAGCTTCTGTGTCTTCTTTCTGCTGTGCTGAAGTGTCATCTCTTAAGGCGCACAATTTTCTGTGAGATTTGTTTGGGGCACTTGCAAGGGATGTGGTGACTGAGCTCATTTTCCATGGGAGGTGGGTATATGGAAGGGAAAAGGTGAGGAAGGAACTGACAGCGGATGTAAAATGGAAGGTCAGGCAAAAGGGAATTAACAGGTGGAAAAATATGAAGATGTCAGTTATAGGAATCAGTATGAGAAGAAATATTTAGGCATTTGAAATTGAATGAGAAGTGGGGACCAGTGATTTTAATGTTGATGATGGGGCTCCTGTTTGTGCTGAACAAAGCTTCTGATAGCTTTCTTGTCTGTTACATGGGTTGTCCAAACTAACTTCTGTTGTTTCCAAGATACCAGACAGCTATTAGAAAAAACAGACAACTTAGAAAAATGACACATAAACTTGACCCTAAGTGATCTTGTTTCTTCATGTGCTGATTTTTTTCCACTTCAACAGAGGTCCAGCTCATACATTTTCATGAATCGGAAGTGTCAAACTATTCAACCTTGCTGTTAAGTGAAGACAAAGATGTTCTATATGTAGGAGCCAGAGAAGTGATCTTTGCATTAAACGCACTGAATATTGCTGAAAAGCAGCACGAGGTATGGTTTTAATACATGATCATCCACATTAAAAAAAACATCCAACAAAACTTAATGTTTGGCTTCCTTTCCTGGTATTGTAGCACTGCACTTTAGGTTTGGCTTAACATACCTAAAAGAGAAGATACTATGTGTGGGCTGCTCACTGGAAGAGACTGTAGAATAAAACATTCCATCAGATGAGAGGAAGAAAGAAGTTGGATGTAAACAAGGAATTAGAGGTTTCCTTAGGTGTTTTCTTCCTGGGGACAGAATGTTGAACTGGAGGGACTTTGATATCAACTGGCATGATGGTTTTAATGCATATTTTTATTAGCAGGAATGGGCCATCTTCTGTTAATCTGAATCAGAAGGTAATCTAGTCCAAAACAGAAGCAAAGTTGGAGCTTGCTCAGGAGTAGCAGGCTTCAGAAGTGTTTCACATGAAATGAAGGCCTGTCCTTGCAGTTTCAGCTTCTGTTTTGTGTCTCTAGGTGTGTCTGCACCACAAGTGGTGGTGCAGACAGGTCTGATCCAGCTTGTTCAGAGAAGTACTTTGGACGTGCTGACACTGCCTTCTCAGAGTAGATGAGCCCATGCAGAAGTCTGCTAACATTGTATTATTTCCAGTCCTTCCCAGGCTGCTGCTTCTCATCCCATCAGCAGCACAGGCTGACACTTAGAGGCACGGCATCACGTTCACAGGTGGTGGGCAGTCTTCACCAGTGTACAAAACTTGTTTTATGAGTGCATGTAGCTTTCAAAGTTGTACTTCTCCACGTAGTGTAAATCGGTCCAGTAAATTTTCTTTGACCTCCGCTCTCAAGTGTCTTTCATTCACACGTGAATGAAATGGAGAAGTAGTTAAAATGGAGAAGTACTTGAAACAGTTACAGTTGCATTTCCCTAATGGCTGTGGTAATGGCAACTTTGTTAGCAATTTGAGGGGAAACATCATGATGAACCCAAAAGATAATGGCAGTGGTTTAACCCCAGTTAAGGCTCATGCATTTGTCACCTTTTCAGGAAAGAATAGCTTTGAACCTTTGAAAGCTACTTGCAAAATGGTTTGCATTTGCTGCAGATAGTCTTAGGATTGCCTTTTGTGTGTGTTACTGAAAGATCTTCAGACTTTGTGTTGAATTAAAGTGCTTTGGATGTGCCTTTTTGTTGCTTATTTTTATGTAGTTACACTGGAAGGTCACAGAGGATAAAAGGACTAAATGTGCAGTCAAGGGCAAATCAGAACAGGTACGTATTTTTATTGAACTTTGGGAAAAATGTGGTATGTTACACTTAAAGAGGAGTGATGTTAAAAGAAAAAAAGGCTCCAACTGCTTGAAATTAAAATTTTCAAATGATCACCTAATTTTTTTAATGAACTTGACCTTTAGAAACGGCAATGTTCCTTAGTTTTCCCTCTCTCCCTCTTCTCCCCTCCCCATTCTTAGCTCATTTTTTGTTGGTGAATATTATTTGAATGTTTGAAAATCCGAACACCACCCTAATGTGTGCTGAATACTACAAGTTTTCCTATTGAAATGATAAACCAACAGTACTTTCACTGAGGTAGTTGATAGCAACTGTTGTGTTTTGTTGTTGCCGTAATTATTCCCCAGCATTTGATTTCAGAAAGTGGCTGATAATTTTGTTTGCTCTACTTTAGGGCAAGGGTTTATTTATTAGGCCAGTGCTGTTCCACCAGCATATTATTCACTAACAACATATATCCTTATTGTAGTGCTCAGCGGGTGTGCCCCTTGTGGCAGCAGCTCCTCACTGGTGTAACTGCTCAGGCAGCATCCCAGCACCTGAGCAGCCTGGTCTCCTGCCAGATCGGTAGTGCAGGCAGCTCAGCTCCTGGGATCCCACAGACTTCTCGCCACTGCCAGTGGCCAGGCTGGCTTACTCATTGTGCCTTTCTGTGGAGACGGTTTGCTTGTGGCAGTTGGCTGTACGTGTAGCACCACTTCATTTAGTGATACAGTAAAGTGAGGGTTTGCTGTGCAAAGACTGATGGTCAGGCTTTTAAGCACAGGTTTGAAAGTGGAAGTCTGCAAGCCCTGCAAATACAGAAAGCAGTCCTGCCCTACACTTGCAAGGATTTGACATCGGCACCTGACAGCTTCTTTGGTTCATGCTGTTATAAAATCCCAGGTGCTGTATCCAGAGCTGATAGATCTCCTGCATTTGTGGGGTTCCTGCAGATGGGAGTGGGCTCTCTTTGCCTTGGCTCAGCTTACTGCCTTTCTCCAACTGACAACCATCAATAGATTATCCTAACATGAGGTGTAGCAGGTATTTGAGGGCCATTTTGTTCTTGTCTGCCTCTTCAGGAGGCAATGTAGTGTCATTTCTGTTCTCCAGGTTCAGATGAGATTACTAGTAATAAAATCCAGACATCCACAATTGGATATGGGAAATGTGAATTTCTCTCACATGCATATAGTTTAGTAGGTGGTGCATGAATCACTACCACTCTTCTGCAGAGATTATTAGTGTTAGGTAGACAGGGTGTTAGACCCCCAAAATGGGTACTTTGCCAGCAGTCCAAACTTCCTTTTTTTTTTTTTTTGTGTCTGCAGTTTAGCAAGTCACATTTATTGCCATCCATACTTTTTCTTCCCTGTACTCATAACCTTTATGAGTCACATCTATAGTAGCTGTGATGTTTTGCATAGTACAGTAGTTTCAAAAGAGTCAAGGTATTAAGCCACTACTGCTATTCCTTACACTAAAATGGGCAGTCTTCTCCCCCAGGCATCACCCCTGTGCTGTTTAGTGCCAGCAAAAGGCAGCTGTGGCAGAAAAAAGTTTAGCTTCCTCACCTAACCCTAGTTTTCTGCCATATCAAACCCACCGTACAGTCGCAGAAATACCTCATTTGGCTCATAAGAAGGAAGAGTAACTACAGTGCTTATTCATGCTTGAGTAGTTTATGAAACTATAGTACAGTGGTGGTATCTGGCTGTGTTGCCACCAAGGATTAAGGGGTGTTGTTGATACTGGGGTTTTTTTTTTCTCTCAGTGGGTGTTCAAGATTTCTTTTTCTTGGTGTTTATTCTGAAACTTTATGGTCTCCTTTATTCAGGGCTTTGGCTCAAACTCCTTGTTCTGTTTCTGAGCCAAAAGAATGAAGAAGCTTTCTTGGATGAGCAATTGATATCAGGGACTGGGGTGGTGGTGGTGGTGATGGTGGGGTAACCCCAAACCAGCAAAAGCTTTGTAGCTAATTTAATGATCTTAGAGGTTTCTCTTAAGAAGCATCCTTGAGTATCACTGTTTCATCTAGGCTTGCAAGAGATTGCGAAGTCTAAAACTTACTCCATGCTTAACTAGGCATTCCCATGGATTGGAGGTGTCTTTGGAGCTTGTGCTTTCATGGAACAACTTGAGATGCACCTTGCAGAGTATATGTTACTTGGTTATGCTACCCGGATAGATACACTGAGGCAGCTGTGCACTACTGTGCACTACTGATGCTGGGGGACCACAGCTCCTGGAGATTGCAGAGAGAGGGGTGTCCCAGTGGTGATTGTATTGCCCAGCTTTACTGGTGTGGCATGAGTAGTGACAACAGATGAGCTGACAGCACAACTTTTTTATGTTTATGTTGGAAGCTGTGGTTTATCAGCCTTTTCTCATGCTTTATTACAGACAGAGTGTCGTAATTATGTGCGTGTATTGCAACAGCTGAATGATACTTTTCTCTATGTGTGTGGAACTAACGCGTTTCAGCCAACATGTGATTACCTGGTAAGAATGTACATACAGTTTTGACCCAGTAACAACTGTAACTTACAAGCAGCTCATTTAAACAATGAGGTAATCTCCATTTCTGAAGACTGTTGCAATTTCAGTGCTGGTTGTAATGTTTGGAGCATTTATTACACTGTTCCACAGTAATGATAGAGGATGGAAATAAATTGTATTGTTCTCTTTCCAAGGCACTTACTGAATTATTGATTCACCTTGTTTAACTGTGGATTTACTTCTTCTTAGCTTTCATAATTATTTGCGTATTGTGCGTTAGCATAAAAAAAGTTTCTAAAATTGAAATCACATTATTTGTGACTTCCATCCATTACTGAATGTCCCTGATATTTCTCAGATTCCTGTCTCTACTTGTCTTGTCTCTGCTCCTGGCTATGCCACAGCTTCATAGTGCTGAATGCTTCAGAGTGAAGTCTTGGCACAAAATCAACTCCCTTTTCTTGCTGCTGACTCTTGTATCATTAGCCTTACTGTGGCTCTTAATTCTGAAATTGAGAAATCTTGTAATTGTTTGTTCTTTCCTGGCTCCCCTGCCTGCAAGTTGGCCTGCCACCACCTCTGGAACGTTGCCAGAAGTCATTGCCCTTAGCCTTCAATATCTTCATTACACAGTGTAACTGATCAGTTTCCCAGTACTGAGGCTACAGTCATCTTCCTGATCCTCATTCCCTTTTTTTTTAGGGATTTATAAAGTAGCAGCCGAAGTACTCTGTTGCTTTCTGAAATTTAGTTAGATTGTGACCCATCTTCAAAATGGCTGAGTCTACTTCAGAAAGCTGCTCCAATTTCTAAACCTTTCAATTTTTGTGCAGGCTAATTCAGTAATTGCTAGCTCTCTCCATATATCAGTTAACTTCTGCCTTTCCTGCTGTCTAGCTTTTTTTGGTGCCCTCTCTTGAGGTCTGTCTGGATTTAACTTTTTGTCTTCTGTGCTTTTCTGCTTCCACCCACAAATCATAGGATCACATTTCCTGTCTGTCTGCTGGACTCAATCAGATTTTCTGGAAATGCATATTTGCCTTTTATAATACTACCAAAAAAATGCCTTTGATGCTGGAAGTCGATGATGTGGTCCATTATTTAGTGTTAAATCTTTCAGTTACCTTTGCGAGTGAAGTAGCTGAAAGATAAAAGTGCTAACAGTTGTTCTATGGTTTTCAACTTCATTTTTTGCAGAATTTGATTTCATTTGAACTTGGAGGTAAAAATGAAGATGGTAAGGGCAGATGTCCATTTGATCCTGCTCAAAGCTACACATCTGTTATGGTTGGTAAGTTCAGACTTTAATGCCTCATTATTATTTATAAAAGTGTTTGATATTTTCCACTGTCATTCTCCAGGCTCTCAGTATAGAAATGACAGATTATGTCCATGTTTTTACATCTTTATTGTGTATTCAGGTAGACGCTAAAACACTTATGTAGTCAAACCTAGCATGTTTCTTAAAAAGAGAATTTAAAACTCTGTTATTTTGTAATCAACTCTTTAAAAAAACTAATTTTTAAATGATATTTTCAGGTGTTTAATAAATTAAGTTGAGGTTGTCTCAGTGTACTTTTACTGCCTTTGTAGTATCAAATAATGTCATTCCAGTAAATGTAATAAGTAGAATTTATTAGCTGTCCTGAAGACATATCCATGAGACAGAATTGGGAAATGAGAAATATATTCTGAATGTATTTCTGTATGGTTAGATACTACTCAATCTTGATTTAGTGAAATTGGAGTTCTTGGGTGTACCCCAGTGTCACAAGACCATAAAAGAGAAGCTCAAAGTAACACAAAATGGGAAGGACGGAAGAACACACTCCCTGTATTGTTGCCTAGATTCTTAAAAGTTGAGTTTGAATGATGTTGGCATGGAGGGAGTAAAATATACTGGTACATAAGCCATAGGTTTATAATTTAAGTGTTGAAGTACCACAGAAAAGATAGTGACTTTTGCTAGTTGCCAGTGTTAGAGCAGTAATAATCCCAAGTGTGGAAGTGTGAGCCTTGAGAAATGGTAAGGAGAAATGTAAACATTGAAGACATGTCTGGGGCAATTTAGAGGAAATCATTGTTTGTCTTTTCTTGTGGGAAGTTTAAGCTTACATAGTCTCCTGAAATATTTATATACCCTTTTTGATACCTAGTACATAAGAAAGTGAAATATTTGTTCTTGTGTTAAAGATGAGGAGCTTTATTCCGGGACTTCCTACAATTTTTTGGGAAGTGAACCTATCATTTCACGGCATTCCCATCAAAGCCCTCTCAGAACAGAGTATGCGATACCTTGGCTTAATGGTAAGTAGGCATGAGAACTGTCTGAATCAAATTGGTTTTCATTCTTCAGTGTCGCACAGAGTCTGAGTGCCTTACCTGAGTTAAGGGGCAGTTGTCTAATATCTCAAAGATACTGTTATACTGGCACTCAGTGATATGTAAGGGTGTGCCCTTCTGTGCCCTCAAGAAACATAATTTTGAAATATCAGGATTTTAATAGCACTGGCGATGAGAACAGTTTTAAGCTACACAGGCTTCACTTGATCTTAAAACGCTACAGTTTATTTTGCATCTACTTGTTAATCCTTAAGGTAATGCAGCATGGTTATGATATAGTAAGAAGGAGAATGGTTTTGGTCTGTAACAGGTTTTCAAATCAAGTTGAATGTGGTTCCTGATGATTTTAGTTCCTGAAATTGAGAATTCACCAAGTTTTGTGAACGCTCAGAGGTTTGTGGCTTTCTGCCAAAAAGGGACAAATTCATGCAACCAAGAGATGCATTAAGTCCAAAAAGTACAAAATACTGAGTTCTGTAATACATGTTGTAATGATACTATCATTTTTAGTGTTTCTACTAATAGCTGAAATAGGGGAGTGGTATGCGAGCGATGGTACCTTTCCAGACCTGTTAGAAAACTGCAGTTGAGGCTGAAAAACATTGGAAGCAATGAGGTATCAGACCATAGAGGTCTCTCAAGTATCTTAGTGCTTTCATGTAGGGTTGTGGGTTTATGGGTTGGTTTTTTTCCCCTCTATTTCTTTAGAAATGTTATTCATACTATGAACAGCAAACTGTGTAGGCAGGTCAGTGACTGGAGAGCCCATATGCAGTGTGAAGTTTGGGTGAAAGAGGACTCCTAGAGGGTCGTTGTGGGAATCAGGTTAGTAGTCTCGTGTATAATATAAAATTCTTCTCTTTTTATCTATAGAGCCTAATTTTGTTTTTGCTGATGTCATAAGAGCAGACCAAAACAGCACAGATGGAGAAGATGACAAGATATACTTCTTTTTCACTGAGGTGCCTGTGGAGTATGAATTTCTTGGAAAACTGATGATTCCAAGAATAGCTAGAGTGTGCAAGGTGGGACGTAGTTCAGTTTACTTTAACTAATTCTATCTATTTTAACTAAATCAAGTAGAATTTTGTGTGTGTTAAAACAGCATTTATTATTGTGGACTTACTGCCAATTAAATGGAAGTGGTCAAACTTGGTGAATCAGCAGTTTCAGTCAGTTATTCAGAACTGAGAAAGCCTTATTGTTGCTTTGGGAGCAAATACTTGACTTAATTTTGCACAGTGGTAAAATTTCATGGAGCTGTTGGAGCTGCCAGAGCCTCAAGGAAAATGGTCACCAGCAGCCTGATTCTATCACACGTGATGTGTTTAAACCTCAGTGTGTTAGGCTCGTTCAAGTATGTACTTAGGAGTGCTGGTTAAAAATCTTGATGATGAAAAAAAGTTATTTTTTAGTAGGTTGATTTAACGCAAACTTTTTCACTGGAATGTATCAATTTCCTCAGGTTTTTTTTTTTCCCCAACAGGAAATTTATCTAGCCATTTTATTTTGATGAGGTTGAAATGTTTTATTTAGACCTTACTGTTTTATATTTAAATATGGAAGTCAAAACATCAATAACAAGTTAGTGCTCTTGAGATTTCCATTAAACAAGCAGCTGGAGGCAGGTTTACATGAGGCTTATTATTGTGGCCCTCTGCCCACTGGCAGCTTGTGCTCTCCTTTAAAGGGGAGTATCGTGGAATATGAGAGCTTTATTGCGGCTGTTTGTCTGAAATGGAAATCAATGGCAGGTTGCAAATCTATAAGCATTTATACTTAAATTTTGCAGGTTTCCTCTAATACTTTCCATAGCGAATATGGGAAATATTAGTCATGTTCAAATATGCCCTGCTTTTTGAAGACAAGTAACAGAGATACAGCTTGAGTACTAAATATTTTTAAATGTTTCTAATCAATATATCTTTACTACTTTAAGTCTGGGTCCTGCAAATCCTTAATAAAGGTGGTAACTGTTTGCAGAATTAAGCCACTGCTGCATTTTTTCTAAGGAAATTATTAATACCAGGCAAGTTCAAGTGCTTGTCATAACATTAGAATTTAAAATTGCAGTTTAGATGTCACAGAACAATGCAATGCTTCTTACTTGTCTTGAGGAACAGTATAATACTTCCATACTTATTTTGCTTGTTCTAATAAGCAGGTTTTTACTCATCTCAATTTTCAAGCGCTGCTTTCTGTAAGCCTTATATCTCATCTTCCCTCTGTGCACTGATAGAAACCATTCTGCAATGTTTTTGTTGACTAATTGTCCTGTGGTGAAATGTTAGAAAGTAACAGTGCTCAGGAATTTCATGCTATAGAGCAGTGGTTCTTAAATGCAAAAATGATGCTAATTCTCCTCACAAAAACCTTTTTGTTTTGTTTTTTTTTTTTTTAATGTCAAAAGAGGGACCAAGGAGGATTAAGGACCTTGCAGAAAAAATGGACTTCCTTTCTGAAGGCCAGATTGATTTGTACCAACCCTGATAAGAATTTAGTTTTCAATATTATCAATGATGTTTTTATACTCAAGTCTACAACTTTGAAGGAGCCAGTGATATACGGAGTCTTCACACCACAACTGTAAGTGTGGTACAGCTGTTTTCTGGATAAGTACTTTTAATCTCAGTTGATTACTATGATAAGTAATAATTATTCCTCTGGTTTTCTTCTGTTCTGAACTTTTAGGAATAACGTGGGGCTGTCTGCAGTGTGTGCATACAATCTGTCTACTGTAGAAGAGGTTTTCTTGAAAGGAAAATACATGCAGAGCGCTACAGTAGAACAGTCTCATACAAAGTGGGTACGATACAATGGGGAAATTCCTCATCCTCGACCTGGTGCGGTAAGTTTATATAATTTTGAATCTGATAACAAAAAATGAAAAAGAGACTTTTTTTTTATAATGCTTAGGACTAAAAATACTGGTAAATATTAGGTAGCTGGCCTGGATACTTCTTGTTTTAAAGGCTTTGTAGAAAAAACACTGAAGTGATTTATTTTGAACTTTATTTCTGGAAATCAAGAGTGGGGTTTTTAAATCTGCAGTGAAGTTACTTGCTGATTGCATTTTCATGATTTTGTTACTGATTTTCTAGTGGCAAAATAGATGTCATTATACACTAGCCAACATCAAGTATTTTTTAGGTCAGTTGAACAGAAGTACAGCAAACATTGTATTGTCTCAGTGAGTTCAGCAAGTTTATCCAGTACAGTGCATTACCTGCAAACCAACATGTTCATAGTGCTGGGTCTCTTTCACATTTCTCTTAATTTCTTACATTCCCTGCGGTTGCTACTATTGAATGAGGTGACAGTTAAAGTAGTTAAGAAGCAGGAGATTCTAAAATGTATTTTGGGCCCAAATAAAAATGTAGTCCAAACCTCAGGGATTTGTACATCACAGAAGCCTAAGTGCTACAAGACCTGAGGACCGTCCTCAGTAGAATGAGTATAATATAAATGTATGTTTACTGGCCAGAATAATGCAGAAAAGAAAACGTGTGTAGCTGCTGTTAATTGTCTCTCTTTTGACAAGTAAATGGTGTAATTTGGTTGTTGCTCTTTTTTGGTTTGTTCCCCTCACTAGTGCATAAACAATGAAGCTAGAGCATCAAACTATATGAGTTCTCTGAATTTGCCAGACAAAACATTGCAGTTTGTTAAAGATCATCCCCTAATGGATGACTCAGTGACTCCAATGGGAGACAGACCTCGACTAGTAAAACGAGATGTGAAGTACACCCAGATTGTAGTAGACAGAGTCAGAGCACTCAATGGCTCCATATATGATGTTATGTTCATCAGTACAGGTGGGTTCTGCAAAACACTTTTTTTCAATGATGTACTGATTCATTAGGCTGAAGTATGTTCAAGGGAAACTCTTTGAGTTTCCATATTTCCAGTGCTTTTACGGCAGTTGGTGCTTTCGTTAAAAAGGGCGATGGTGAGTGGAGAATCTTGCATGCTTTGGGAAAGCAATGCAGGAAAAAACCTGCAAAACTGCAATGAGTGCAGCAAAAATACATTTAAGATAATCTCAAAGTGGTCATTCTTTGTTCCAAAATGTTATTTCTTGCTCAGAGGTCCTTATGTTGACAAATTTAAGGATTGCCATTTTCACACATTGTGTGAAATCATCAGCTGAACACCAAGCAGATTGAGTCAATTTACAGCAGTTGTGCAATTTTTTCTCTGGCTTTTTATTTTAAGGATCTTAAATATTTTACTTTGTCGTTTCAGATCGAGGAGCCCTGCACAAAGCTATCAGCTATGAAAATGGAATGCATATTATTGAAGAAACACAACTTTTCCCCAAATTTGAGCCAGTCCAAACTCTCTTGCTTTCATCTAAAAAAGTAAGTGCTATAATCATCACATCATTCCTCTCATTTTGGTCTTCCTCAAAACTTTTTAGTACCACCTCATAACCTCGTTGTGACAAAAAAAGTCTGTCACTGTGCACAGAGACGAAGGCTGCATCTGTAACTCCTTGCACTGCAGCAATATTATGTATTGCCTGCTGCATTTCAGTGTCTTTGGTAGGTGCAAACTTCTAAAAGTATGTAGAAATGGGGAATGTGGAGGTTGGGGTACACGTATAGGGAGGGGTCTTCACTGTGATTTCATGTGCAGAAGCTGAAAGTTGTGTTTTAAGGTACCAGTTTTCAGGTTAGGACCTCTGTAAAAATCCTGACCCCTTGTGGCCACTGAAAATCTGTGAGGAAAAATCCTTTGGGAGGGCTTAGCAGAGGAGTAGTGTATCTTTCTGAGGAAAAAGACCTAAGATGATCAAGCAGTCTCGTTTATTAGAGAGACTCATAGCTGTGTAACCCAAATCTTGCAGGCTCCTGCACACTAGCTGTATCATTAGAGCAGTCACGTTAGTGCAGTGGGGGGTGAGGACCTCTGGTGAGGTCCTGTCCAGCAGGCACCAGCTGCAGCTCCAGCCTGGGGGTACCAGCCTTGCCACAGGCTCCAAACCCTACCTATTAATCAGTTGCTTGGTTTAATGCTGGGTTTGTGAGAGTGGGAGGGTAATCACTCTGTGTACTTTTTACATGAGTTACACTTCTGGCCGTAGTTACTCCAACCAACAGATCCATGAATGTGTATGGAATTACCACCTAAAGCAGTGGCTTATAGTATCACATCCCTCAAACTGGTGAAATTTTGGGGTTTCTTAATCTTAAGGAAAGAATAACTCTTGAAATGTCTTGTAGTAATGCTGGTATTCAGTAGCTACCTGGTGATCAACAAAAACTCTGCAGCTAGGCATTTAGCAGTACTGCCAAGATATCTTAGAAACAGCTTTTATTTTTGTGTGGTACTTAATAAAAATTTCAGTGCTTGTAGATTCTCTAAAGATAATCATATTTTTTATGAATGATGCATCACACGAGCAACTTACATATATATACAGTATGTGTGTATATATATGTATAAAATGTTTGCTGATGTCTTCTATTTTATCTGCAAAGAAAGCTTTAAATGCCTTACTTTGACAGGAAGTTTCGGCATTTGCTTTATGATAGAAGATAATGATAACAAGATAATTTCAGCAATGAGGAGTGGAGATTGGGTCAAGTATGAGTCATGGAAGATGCATAGTTGTGTTACCACCCAAGCAGGGATTACTTCTGCTCCCCAGCATGAAAACGCAAGTTTCTACCTCCCTGGACATCACAGTAGCAATCACAGTCAGTTGCTACTGAAGCCATTTGTCAAGCTGGTATTGCAGTATGCATAGTGGCCATAATGAGGATTAATCACAGGAGGTTAATAGTTGCTACCTTAGACCTCTCTGGAGTCAGTCCTTTCTGAACACAATACTGCAGTAGTCTTCAGGCCCTTCCCATGATACTTCTACCTTGTTTGGAGAGTAGTGGGCAGTGTCAGATGAGCCTACAGTACATCCTCCTAACTCCTATTTTACTGAAAGATGTGTCTTGATTTTAGAACATGAAATTTCAGGATGAAGGACTGCATTTGAGTGTATGTCTCTTGAGGCTGATTGTCTGTCAGAGTCCATCTTCAAGTAATGTAAGCAGATTCTCTTGATACAGTTTCGACTTGCATTGTCCAGTGTCAAAGAGTTTCCTTGAAAGCTGTCTGCACACTTTATGAGATGGATCCAACCTGATTTGTGCTTGGTCTTGTAGCTTACCCTAGGGAATGCTGCTAGCCAGAATGCATCATTTGTTAGCTTGATTTTTAAAACACTTCCTCGTGACCACTGCATCGAAGAGACTAACCGGTCCTGAATTCTCATGGCAAAACCTCCTTACCTCCTTAATGAAAGAATGACAGTGAGCCCCAAACATTAAGTTCATTCCTGAGATGCCCTGTTAGTTGAGGCTGTTTCGTATGTCAAGACCAGAAGTCTGCACCACGAAATGAGGTTTTCAAAGAATGTTTCTTTACTGGAATCTCTTGGACGTCTGCCCGTCACTTTGTGACCATATTCCTCTTGCCACAGTCACTGCAGACACAATCCCCAAGTACATTTCTACATACTGAGATCTGTATGGTTGCAATACAGGAAAAGCTACTCAGTGCTTGGATCTGGCTCATTTGCCATGACAACTGCGGTAGGGTGCTGATAAATCCACTCGGTATTCTGCTCAGGATGAAGGCAACCCACTGCCAAAGTGGGGTGTGCTGTTCAGCTTTGTATTCATAGCCTCTCAAAATGACTAGAGGGTTGGACACTGGTGGTTTTGGGTTGCAGCGCAGGCTCCTTTCTTAGGGCTTTGCATAATAATATGTAAATTCACGGTGTACCTTTTGCTATCAGTTTCCCTGAGCTTTGGAACAGATGAGTGAAATAAGGAAGCTGCCTGCTTTTTACGAAAAGGATGTTCAGGATAAGAGTGGTCTTGTCTTGTCATGCTCAGGGTAATAATTGTTTGGGTTCCCCAGCAGCAGAAACAGCTGTTCTGTTTATATCCCCCTTTTTCTTTTCCACCTTTTCCAGTGCTATTTCCTTTGAATACTGTCCAGTGTTTCTCCATGAGTCCCAAGTAGGTAGCTGCATCTGACTCTTGTAAGGCTGCTACCAATGCGGCTGCAGAGACCCAACTGGCAGAAGAGCCGAGGGCAGTGGTGCTGCTTTGGTTAACAGGAGCAGGAGCAGGTCCTGCATACAGCAGGCCTTGCCTGTTCAGGCTTCCATGTGCCTGCTTCAGCCCTGTCATCAGCACAGACTTGCCTTGCCTTACAGGAGGATTGTCAGTTCATTTGTGTTTCTGGAAAAACTCTTGTCATGAAGCCATGGTTAGACCATTCTGATAAACTATATCTGTTTCAGGTTTTTGTTGTTTTGTCTCTTTGCACTTCCAGCCTAGCTGAATATTTTCCTAAACTTCCTTTCTAAGGTAATAAAAATGTTTGTTCTGCTCCTGTTCCAGTTTTTACAAATATGGCTGTTATATATGCAACTCCTTAAATTGTTTCATGGGTTGGTTTGTTTGGCTTTGAGGAAATGACTGGCTGTGTTTGTTTTTGTGCTTTGGTTTTTTTAGGGCAGAAGATACCTCTATGCTGGTTCTAATTCTGGTGTAGTTCAGTCTCCAGTTGCATTCTGTGACAAGTACACCACTTGTGTTGACTGTGTTTTAGCAAGGGATCCTTACTGTGCTTGGAAACCCTATGAAGCTTCCTGTGTTGATATTTTTAAAGAAAATGAAATTGAAAGGTAATCGTAGCCTTTTATTACTTTACAGTTAGAATCAGTATTGCATCAGCCTCGCCCGTTATTGTTAGTGCCATTTTTTAAGCCAGGTGTTTTCAGATACAGGCTTTCTCTTATCTGTCTACATCTGCTTGCGCTGTTTAGATAAAATGAATCTTGCTTAGGGCAAGAGGATGGGCAGGCTGTAGGAAACAAGATTTGAAATTGTAATACTTGAACTTCCTTTTACAGGAGCTGGATTCAGAACATAGGTGGAGATGCATCATCTTGTTCTGGTGAGTAGGTCTTCGAAGAGCTCTTTCACGCCTCTAGGTGAAGTAGTGACAGTTGCGTTTCGATTGTCTTTTTCGTGATTATCGGAACATTCATTTATATTTTAATAGTATGATACTGTACTTTTGAATATTTGAGCACCTGTACAGCCTGCATGTTGTCTTAAAATGTCTGTGTTTGTATGCATTTCAGTGTGCAGTGCACAAACCGCTGAAATGAACGGGGGCACCTCAACAGCGACTTGTCAATGAAAGCAGTATTTGCCATTCTAGTGCAGAGGCCTGTCTCTGTGATACAGCATTTGACATTCTACTGTGAGACTGGATAAGTGCTTGGTTATTGTGTCTGGATCAGAGTAAATGGTCCCCCAAAAAGCTGGTTTTCTGGTGAGAGGGAAGGGTGACTCAGAACATGATACAGAGCAGCTGAAGTACCCTTTGTAGTGATTTAATAGAAGCAACCACAGGTCCTTTCTTTGCAATATGTGCTGCTGCCACCAGATGAAGGAGATCTTAAAGAGTAGTGTTACAGGAGATTTTTACTGCAGTAAAAAAAAAACTCTGAGGAGTTTGATTTACTCTATTTTTATTTCTAATTCAAGCAAAGCATGGACCACTGTGAGAGTTTTGGTTGTTAGTTTTTCGTTAATTTATGGTGTTGCACTGTGGGTGTGCCGTAAGTGCTGGTATTTTTTTAGAAGAGAGTTCAAGTTGAGTAACAGCACTTTGTTCAGTTCCTTCTTGGATATTTTGTAGCTGCTGATTTATTTAAAGTGCACTAATTGCATATAAAGTGATACCAAATTCAGCACCTTGTCTCAAACAATGACTCCTCTCAGATGCACACACAGTTGCGGATCAACAACACGTCATCCTTATTTGGAAGTGGAGGCTGTCTTAGAGTTTGAGGTGTCCTATCTCCTACTCTGTCTTGATGTCTCGCACGCAATTGTAGCTTGGTATTTTGCTAAGGTCTTTGCATGCTGTCATCTTGGTCTTGTGAGGTAATCTGAATCTTTACATTTCTGTTAAGACTATAGCGCAGTCTTGTGAAATTACACAGATTAGAACAAACGGGAATCATTGCTGATACTCTGCACATTTATTTTGATGTTCCAGATAAAGTAAGCGAGAATTCCCTACAGCATACATTCAAGCATGGGAGCACAGCAGAACTCAAGTGTTCTCAAAAGTCCAATCTGGCACAGGTAGTTTGGAAGTTCAGAGATGATGTGCTGAGAGTGGAGAGTCCCAAGTACCGTCTGCTGGAAAAGGCACTGCTCATCTTCAATTTATCAGAAGGAGACAGCGGTGTTTACCAGTGTTTGTCAGAAGAAAAAGTGAAGAATAAGAAATTTTCTCAAGTGCTGGCTAAGCATGTCTTGGAACTGAAAAAGATCCAGCATACCACGGTGGGCCCCACCGCGGCAGCTGCGCCAACAGAAGGTAATAGTGATGTGCCGAAAGTGTCAGCTGTATCAACTGAGGGGTCAACTGCTCACACTTTGACTACTCATATGGTACCAGTAACAACAGCAAGGATAGTAACAAAGCCCCTTGGCTCTGTTCTAACAAGTGCACCCTCCAACACAGAGCTCTTCAATTCCATTCCTGATGTGGTCCCAGAAAAGACAATGTTCCTCAAGTCAAATGATAATTTCCTGTTGATGTTCCTCTTCCTCTTCTTTTTTATTCTGTTCTTGTGCCTGCTCTCCTACAACTGCTACAAAGGGTACTTGCCAGGGCAGTGCTTGAAATTCCGCTCCATCTTGCTGCTTGGTAAGAAGAAAAAGTCAGATTTTTCTGACTGTGAGCAAAGCGTGAAGGAGACACTGGTGGAGCAAGGCAGCGTCAGCCACCAGAGCGGGGAGCAGCCAAAGCCAGCGCACGACACTGGCTATGAAACTGAGCCTGACTGTGGGAACGGCCAGCTGCAGGCTGGGGATTTGCAGGCATCCCGAGAGGCCAAGGACAAGCCCTTCGATGTCAAGTGTGAGCTCAAGTATGCTGACTCGGACGCAGATGGGGACTGAAGGACCCAATTGTCTGATTGAGTGGTGAAAGTCGGCTGTGGTCCCGTGGCTAGCTATTTGAGCACAGAGAGCACGGGTGTGACCGCTGAGCCATAGTGGGGATTACATGCTTATGCTGTACAGCAAGCCAATTAGCATTCAGATCTCGCCAGTTTAGAGAAGTAGTGTCCTTGTCTGCAGACCATAGCATCTTGTGTTGTACTGTCCTATGCTTTTTTTTTTAAATGGCCAGTTTCAGATCACCATTTGTTTGTTCCAAGTTTTACCCCCAAAGAGCACTTTGCTCTCGTGAACGGTTATTTGCTTGTTCTTCAGCCCTCTTCTTCCAATAGGATAAAAGTAATTTTCTAATTCAGTTGGCTTTAAAAAGTACTTCAGTCTACGCATATTTTTCGCTGACATTACAAAGACCTAGTTTCATTTTAATTCCAAATTGGAAATTAAGTTTAGTTTATCAGATTGGTAAATTATAGACTTTGTCCAGATTGGGACATTTTTTTTTTTCTCTTTGCTTCTAGTGATTACTTTTAGTTTTATGCTTTATGTTTTGACACACTAGGTCTCTTTAGTTGTTTAAAGTTAATTTTTTTAACTGCTTTTTAAGTATCTGAGATTTTAAGGAATAATGGGGATAGCATTGCCTTGATTTGTGTAAGACTCAGGGATAATCTTGTTTAAAGGCTTTTTTCTTCACTGCTTTCTAGCAGTTTAGGTACAACAGTATCAGTACAAAACATCGACTAAGTGGGGGGAGGGAGGAAGTAATAGGTTTAGGAATGCTCTTTTCTTATATTTTTCCCCCTCCCCCCCCCTCCCCCCTTCCCCCCCGCCAGGAGGCTGGACACAATCGTATTCTGTTTTCTGTACAAGACTGAATTTCTTTGATTTTTTTTTTTTCTTCTTGGCTTTATTTTATTTTGGGTTTTTTTTCTTATGAAACAGTGCAGGCAAGCAGATATCAGTTAGCAGTGATGCAGAGAGAGGTTTTTGCACAGTGGAAGCAGAGCTGGAATCAAGAAGAATTAACTACAATAATTCAGCTAGTGACTCACTGGAATGGACTGTTAGGATACAGCCTGATGAGAAAACATTGCCGATTCTTTTCTTTTTTCAGATTCAGAAATAACTTGGCTTCTTTTTGTGACAAATCTTTGCAGCGTCACCCTTTCTGGATGACACCTTCCCAATCTCCTGTGCAACTGGAGACTGAAACTGGAGCTGCTGAAAACAATCAGTTTGAACTCTTTATGTGAATCATGCCTGCAGTCGTGAAAGTGTGCATTTGTTCTCAGCCTGGTTCACAGCAGCACTGTTTGTCTGTAAAAGCATTTTGTGCGGTACAGTCTTGAAGAATTGTTCCTCTCACTGCATCTTTCTGTAAATGTTGCTAGAAGTAGAATACATTTTAACAGTAAAGAGTATGCCTGGGCTGCTTTCCTATGTTGAACTTTCATGCGAATATAATTTAGACCATCTTAGTGTAAACAGTTTATATTTTGTAAGATTCAGTTTGGTTTTATTTTTCTATTTTTAATTATGTACATATAACAGAATAAATATTAAAATAAATTGTATTATACCTTGACTTTTATGAAACTTGACATAGTGACACTACTTTCCATATTGCAAACACTGATGCTCCTTGTGGTTTCCTTTAAGGAGGGAACAGTAGTTACAAATGTTTCAGTTTGGAGCAGATTCTCTTCTCAGCTTTAATTGAATGGATTATAACCCAGGGCAGGGTGGAAGGATGCAAAAATAAATGTGGGTGAAGGAAGAAAGCACTCTTCTCTAGGGGCTTCGGGATGCTTCCTTTTACTATTCTTCTTAAATTCATTTGTGTCTCTGCATTATTTCTTCAGTATGATGTATTTCTTACAATTTCTTTCCTTAGTGTACCCTCTTTTTTCTTTTCTGTCCTCTTCTGTCACACAGCCTCATCTCCTATACCTTTCCCTCCTACTGGTACCTCCTTTTTGTCCTGTGTTGGGAGTGACTCATCTCCTTCACCCACCAGTACCCAGCCTGATGTTTGGTCTAGCACAGACTCTGTAAAGATCATGTTGTTGCCACCTTTCTTAAGTGACCAGGCACAGCATGTTAGTGTCCGGGGACCCTTTCGCCTCTTCTGCCAAGCCACAGGTAAGTTGGAGGATCCCTGTCTAAACCAGCATTTTCTGCATTAAAGGTTTAGATATATTGTCATATACTGTGTATGGTTTGCTTTTTGGATGTTGGAGGGGGGGAATAGGGAGAAGCAAAGAAAAAAGACCGTTTCAGCATATATTATCAATATGCTGTTACTGAGAATCTGGCACTGTGAATGCTGTGAAATGCAGGCTCTTATTTAGCAGCCTACTGTAGTATATTAATAGGCAATTAATTTTAATGGACTCACTTGTATGCTTTGAAGGAGTTCACTGAATTATGTTTGCATATGGATGATTAGCAGGTAAATATTCACTATTGGTATGTATGCTGTTTAAAAATACACTTCTGTTGGATTTGTATTTAGTGTATGTTTCTGGTCTAGATCAGTTACTCTTTCTTCAGCCTTATTTCAAGTGGTAAAGTACTTGGAGTAATGACAACTTCCATTTTATGAAGACTATATTATCTGAAGTTCACAGGAGAGGGGCAAAGCTCTTTTCTGTATAGAAATTCAACATTTGTCTTTTAAGTTTTTGTTTTCATAGTGGTTGCCTGTTCAAGCTAAGTGAGATTTAATGGACTAGTTTTAGGATGTAATCTTATTCCTGAAGAGACTGTAGGTAGAAATTTATTTTTAAAAGTAGCATTGTTTTGTATTGTGTGTTAATGTTACACAGAATCAGATCAAAAGTATAAATTATTTTTAGAGTAGGTCTTAACAAAGGCATGATTTGTATTGCCATGGATAAAAAGAACAACAGTAGGATGCAGGTTATTTCACAGAATAGAAACACAGAATCATTTAGGTTGGAAAAGACCTTTCAGCAATAATCTGTTCACTCTTTTGATGGACAATTCAGACACTTTTTGTTGTCCACCATGAAAAAAATTGTAATAATAGCACAAAGGATTTAAACAGTGATCATGCCGAATATCTGGAATTTATTCTAAAATTGCTTTTTTCATCCAGTGATGTCCATTTTAACATGATATCTGTGCTGCTTTAAAAAGTTGGTGGTAATTGTAATTTGCCTTCGTAGTGAACTTAAGCAATAAGGAGTCAGCTTGTGGAATTTACTTCTGAGGAGGTATGGACGAAGACTGGAAGAAACGGGAATCGGGCACCCAAGAGGTGCAGGGATGGCAGAGGCAGGGGCAAGAAGAGCCAGCAGCGGAGGCATTTCTGACCACTCTCAGAGAGTGGGAAAGGACTGGGCTTTGTGTTATGAGTGAGGGGCTGACTCCGTTTGGGAAATAAGACATTTGGCTACTACATCACACCCTTGCCCAGAGCTGCAGCTTTATTCTGATCATTTAAAACAAACAACCACTAAAAAACACCCAACCAAACAAAGCCCAACAAAACAAAAATATCCAACAAACAGGCAAACGAACAAGCAACAACGAATGCAAACCAGCAGCTCACCTGACTGATGCAGACCTTTTGCATCTTTCTGGGACCTGCACGTGAGGATGTATAAAATTATCCTGGATGGGGTGGCTTAGCAAATACTTCTGCTAAGAAGCCCTCTGCTTGGATTTACTTGCATTCCTTTAGAGCCTGTTGATATTTCTTTATATAAACATAACTGTAATGGAACTTCATTTCACTCAGATATGCATACAAGGTAAAATGTGTTTGCAAGGAGCAGAAGGGTTAAACAAGACTGGCAGAGTGTTAAATGTTGTACCTGGTCTTCTGTGTAAATGATAGGTACCAGCAAGTGTATGATGCAAGTACAGATTGCCACATCATCCAGTCAAAAAACTGAGGTTTATTTTCAGTCAAGTTTCTAACATTTTTATGAGAATTGCTGAATCTTTTTTTTCCTTTTTAATTGTACATGTCGGTTTCAAGTTGTCTGGAAACTGAGCAGGAGTTCTCTTACTCGTCTGTTACTCATCCCACATGTTTTAACCTGAAAGCTGCCTAAGGATAATACTTTACAAGCTTGTAATAGTCTCATTTCAACAGCATTAAGTGGATACAGCACAAAGAGCCACATGCACACTTATTTTTTTCTGGGAATTTTTTTCAGGAATGGAATACTCCTGGCTTTCCTGAAAAGGAGGGAACATAGCTCCCTTCACAAACTGCCCCCCAGATTCTCTCTGCCCTTCTGAAGAGTCTCACATCTACACATTTCTCCAAAGGCGTGTGCTAGAAACACACTGCTAAGCCTTAGGACTCATATCTGCTTTCTCCAACACTGTAGAACTTTAGACCCTTTAAAGGCATCTGAGGCAGGCTGCAAATAAATTGAACTAAATACTACACCATTTGTTGCTAGGTAGCGGCAGTGAGTTGGTGCTGTATATACCTGCTGTATAATTTCTCTGGTGTGCTCTGTTGAATTCAGGTACAGTTGAAACAGGCTTTTTCCTAGCAGTTTTGGGTCCACTTAAATATGTTTTACTGACACCTCACCCAGCTGTATAGTAGTATTTCTTGACCTTAACTTCACAGACAAGTGATGAAGTACTAGAATATCCTGAGTGTGCCAAGCAACAATTTAAATACATTTATAATCAGAAATAGTGCAAAATGTTATGCTTTATTTGTATTTTTAGCCTCATATTCAGAAGCTCTCAGGCATCCAAGATTTGGATGGTGTCAAGAAGTCTAATCTCCTTTAGCTCCTCTGAAGCTGGAATTTTTCCATAATGGTTTCTTAACTTTTCAGTCTCATTAAAATAACCCTGGGAGTGTGAACCCCGGGTAAACATTCTGCAAACTCAGCAACAGACTTTAAAGGAGTTATTGTTTCATGGAGATATTGAGATGAGTATCTGGTAACTCCTGCATACGGTGCCTGTTCCCCATGGCCATAGTATTTTAAAGGGAGTGCAAGACAGCTTCCCACATCCACACGGGAAAAGATCCGTAACTGATAAGAATGAGACTCACAAGTGATTCACTGCAGTTTTTCTGTCTTTGGTGAAGCTTGAAGTTGCACTGAAAGGCGGGGGGGGGGAAATACGGTGCCCTTCAGCAAGTGCTGCTGCAGACTGGATAAAGTTCTAGACAAAGCCCATCTAGAGTGAGTCCAGATCAGATCTTGCGAACCTGTTGGCCAAGGGTTGGCTGTACTGTTGTCATGCAGTGCTGTGCAGCGTGGGTCTGGGCAACGGGGCTCAATCCCTGTGCCCCGGGGTGTGCCCAGTCTGCCCCAGAAGGAGGATCAGCAGCTCATGTCAGAGGCTGACCTGCCCATGGAAATGAATAAATCTCTCCTCTGGAAGTGGCTCTCTAAATCATCTTGGGGTGAGGCTTCCTAGATCGATCGCATTGCCTGTGGTGCACTGGGGTGGTCTGATTGGCTGACCTGGCACAAAGCATTCAGAACTCTGGAGAGGTGTGGAGGTGCACAGCACCCAGAGCAGAGTGAGCCTGTGGAGGAAGGGGCTTTGTGCTGGACAGCAGCGTGTTTTTCTAAGACTAAAAATTCCAGCTCTTTAGTTACAGCGTGGCGGTACCTTAAAATGGAGTTTACTTCAGTTGCCACTTTGTTCTGCTCTCACAAGAACACAAATACCAAGCAGCAGTTTCCCACAGACACACTTCTGTTTCGGAACCCGTTGCAGTTTTCCAGTGTTGGGGCTTCTTTGTTGTTGTTTGGTTTTTTTGATTTTTTTTTTGTTTGTTTTTTGTTTTGGAACTGCTGTATCAAATATTCCCCAGAACATCTCTTCATGTGTTCATCAGTGTTTGTTAGCAGTTGACAGATGTATCATTAGTTTTTGATACATGAAAATGGTTTAACTGGTAGCTTAGAAAGGCCCTGCATTTCCCAGAACAATTAAACCTTCTGCACAAACACTTTAAAACTTCCTATTTGGTTAAGTGTGCAGTGTACCTATATTTATGTGGCGATGCTTTGTTGAAACAATAGCCTTGAGTTTGATCTCTGTGGTTACTTAGTGATCTGTGGTTGGTTTGTCTTTATCCTCATCCGGGAATGCTAAGTCTGTACCTTTTAAACAGTCCTGTATCCCGCTTTATGGATTACATTCTCCTCAGACCTTTGGTGTTCTATCGCATGCTGTCTGTGTATGACTCGGTTTCAGCATCTTTGGCTACAGTAATCTCACAGCAGTGGTCAGGTTTTAATTCTGTACTTTTGTACCACTTCTGTCAGTGACGGGCTGAATATTTGTCACGTAAACGCATTTCAGAGTAAAACCATTCCTTTGTGCAGATCTCTGTCATGCTACCTGGTTTTTATTTTTTGAGATGCATCTAGAATATGCATCCTCTAAAAGATGCATCTCAAATAATGAATCTCAAAAGGTGAAAAGTTAAGTTTGTTTAATATATTAACAGGGGCTTAGAAGTTGTGACATAAAATTATAAAATGATATAAATATTGCAGACCATTCTTACGTAATACACAGACATTAGAAGTATCTTTCTTGTTACTTTAGACCGCAGTATCTCAGTGCTTCAGTTATCTTACTAAGACATTGGTGCTTTTCTTTACAGTCACCAGGGTCTGCTGTGGCCCTCTTACATGCAAAACTGGCAGCATTAAACACCTTTGTGTTGGTGTTACCAGGGCTCTGATGGCTTTCTCCACTGGAGACTTCTGTAGCACAACTGGAAGTTAATGTCTGTGGGGACTACAGGATGCATCCTAAAATTCTGTCATAACAGCAGATTTTGGGTAATTTCTGTGGAAATTTCTCTTGCTGTGCACTTTCACCTGTAAAGGTTGGAGTCAGGCAAAGAAATACTTGGAAAGGAACACACACCCCTCTTTTAATCTTTTCTTGTAAGGACTAGAATAAGCTCAGTTGGGGGAACCTCCCCTTGTTTCACTTACATTTGTAAATGCTTAAAACACAACGAAACATTACAATATCTTTCTCCCCGTGAGGAAAGTGTGTCCAGTTAGGAGTTGGAGTTGTGGTCTGCAAGTATTACCGGTGTGTGGTGTGCTTAAAACATTCCAAACTGCACTGCGTGCTGTAACATATTCCCCCCCCGTACC